GTCATCGCGATATTTGGATGAACTGCATGGCAAGGCGCCTCGAGATGCTGCAGCTGACCGACTGAGAAAAAGATGAAGGTTGACTTAATGGACATTGATATTCCAGGGTCCAAACCAGACGAAGCTGAATCCAAGCCAAAAGGCGGTGTTCAAAGGGGTGGACTTCAGCCCAGAAAGCTCATCAATCTCGATAATCTCGTGTTTGATCAAGGAAATCACCTAATGACTAACCCAAATGTCAAATTGCCACAAGGTTCAACAAAACGAACTTTTAAAGGATATGAAGAAATTCACGTCCCAGCTCCCAAACCAAAGAAAGATCCAAGTGAGCGTCTTATTCCCATTTCAGATCTTCCAGATTGGGCACGTGCCGGTTTTAGGAACTCCCAAAAGCTCAACCGCATCCAAACAAAATGTTTCCCGACGGCCTTCAACGATGATGGTAACATGCTTGTGTGTGCCCCAACAGGCTCTGGTAAAACCAATGTCGCTATGCTTACAATACTACGTGAAATTGGGAAAAATCGGAATCCCGAGACTGGCGAAATCATGTTGGATGACTTCAAAATTGTTTACATCGCACCATTGAAAGCGCTTGTCCAGGAGCAAGTTGGAAATTTCGGCGAGAGGTTGAAGCCTTACGGTATTCGCGTCTCGGAGCTCACGGGTGACAGGCAACTCACCAAACAACAAATAGCCGATACGCAGATTATTGTCACCACACCTGAGAAATGGGATGTTATCACGAGAAAAGCGACTGACACTAGCTATACACGCCTTGTACGGCTTATAATCATAGATGAAATCCACTTGCTCCATGACGACCGAGGGCCCGTCTTGGAAAGTATAGTGAGCAGGACGATTCGTAAAATTGAACAAACGGGCGACCCAGTACGGCTCATTGGACTTAGTGCCACACTGCCTAATTATCGTGACGTGGGCAGCTTCCTGCGCGTTGATCCGATCAACGCCCTTTTCCACTTCGATGGTTCATACCGACCATGTCCACTGAAGCAAGAGTTTATTGGTGTGACTGACAAAAAGGCTATAAAACAACTGAAAACCATGAACGATGTTTGCTATACTAAAGTTCTTGAGCAAGTTGGTACAAATAAAAATCAGATGTTAATTTTCGTCCACTCGAGAAAAGAAACGGCAAAGACAGCCAGGTACATTCGAGACAAAGCTGTTGAGATGGAAACCATTGGCCAAATTTTGAGAAGTGACGCAGCCAGTCAGGCCATCCTGGCGGAAGAAGCAGATGCGGTCAACGACCCGGCGTTAAAGGACCTCATGCCCTACGGCTTTGGTATACATCATGCTGGGATGAGTTTGGCCGATCGCACGTCCGTTCAAGAGCTCTTCGCCGACGGTAGCTTGCAAGTTCTTGTCTGTACTGCCACCCTTGCGTGGGGTGTCAATCTTCCAGCTCACACAGTCATTATCAAGGGAACGCAGGTGTACTCGCCGGAGAAAGGTAGCTGGGTTGAGCTGAGTCCTCAAGATGTGCTGCAGATGCTTGGCCGTGCGGGTCGGCCGCAATATGATACGTTTGGAGAGGGAATCATCATTACGTCTCAGACCGAAATGCAATATTACCTATCCTTGCTTAATCAGCAACTTCCTATAGAAAGTCAATTGATGAGCAAGCTCGCAGATAATCTAAATGCAGAAATTGTGCTCGGAAATGTACGCAATCGCGATGAGGGAGTTGATTGGCTTGGCTACACTTACTTATTTGTCCGAATGCTTCGATCCCCCGGTCTCTACAGTGTTGGCACTGATTATGAAAATGATGAAGCCCTTGAACAGCGACGAGTGGATCTCATCCATTCTGCGGCAACCGTTCTTGAAAAGGCTAACCTTGTCAAGTACGATAAAAAGTTGGGAAGACTCCAATCTACTGAATTTGGTCGCATCGCTTCACATTATTACATCACGCATAGTTCTATGAGTACATACAACTATCACCTTCAGCCCCATGGTGTCCTACAATCGAGCTTTTCCGTATATTCGCTCTCAGCGATGAGTTTCAAATATATTCCAGTTCGACAGGACGAAAAGTTGGAACTAGCCGAAGTTACTTGGTCGTGTCCCAATTCTAGTGAAAAGAAAGCATTGAGGAACCTCACGCAAAGATCAATGTCCTCCCTACAAGCATATATATCTCGCTTGAAACTGGAAGGGTTAGCGTTTAATGGCTGATATGGTATATGTTACCCAGTC